CGTAAAAAGGTTTATATAAGGAGCATTTACCTAGGATTGACTGCTATTAGAAGAGATTGCATCAAGCCTCTAGCCAATCCAGCTTCCAGCATGACACACTTTCTTTGCAGGATATATTAAATACATTTAGTAGTGTGCAACAGCAATGTAGGAAAAACAGGAACAGCCTACTTGGGGACAGCTGATCAGAGTAGTGGCCCAGATGCATTCTTATAAATTTGTGCAACACCATGCAATAAAACTTCAGTGCTGACCAGGGAAGGGCCTCTGACTATACAATTCTTAGTATTTATATTAGGACAGTTCTCAAACAGATTTGACCAGAGGCAGGGCAATCTATCCAAGGACAGGAGTCACTCGTGTGAATTAATGACAGTGACAGGGATTGTAATGGAGGAATTGGAGAATGCAACATCGTTTTGCTGAAACTGGGAAACCAAGCTAGTAATGCTTGCTAAAATGCTTCCTATGTACATTAAATATGCCAGAAGCATTTTAAAAGCAATTGTTTTGAAGCCCCTTGAGTTATTTAAAGTGTACTGGGATTTGGCAAAGTGCTTCCAGGGAATAACATCCTTAGTATACAGAGATGCTGCAAGATCCCCTACAAAAGAGCTAAAAATACAAACATTATTCTACTTTTATTTCCACAAGGACTCTCTATAATTGAGTGCGTATTATTTATCTGCAAAATTCCAGAGGAAGCTGGATAGTTAATGACTTATACAGTTAAACTGGACCAAGTGTTATGAAACTTGAAGGGGTGGCCTGAGGATAAGGAGTGTATATGCATTAGAAAGGAAGAACAGAAAATAACTGAAATAATGTTAAACAACTGTTTCAGAAGCAAGGAACAATACATTTCAACCTTCAGATATATCATTGTTCCAATATGAAAAGAAAATCTTTCACATTTTTGACTTAGACAGTATAATTTAACAATCTTCTGAAACCTACCTCAGAGTCATCTTTAATGTTGTCATGTTTCCGGGTTGAAGGAATGTAAGGTACTGCAGGGAAAAGAAGAGGATAAATAAAGCTAGATCATCATGGCTACTGCAAAAATGTTAGAAAATCAAAAAAAGAAAGAATAGTGTAGCGGTTCTGGGTGGCAGTTTGCCTTGCCCCATGTGACACTTAGGTGCGACTCTACTTGTTTTCCATAATCTAGGTAGCAGACGCCTAAGAGCACAGTAAAGGAAACCAACCCTAGGATAAGGAAAACATTTCTGGCATTTTACTCTCATATGGGAAGCCCAGAAATATCATCCCCTCCAGCCTTATTTCACAGGAAAGATTGTGGATAGAAGACAAGTAGGAGGTAAGAGTGGTTAAAATGGAGAGAAATCTTGATGTAGAGTATAGTCTATTAAAAAATCTAGTGGGAAAGCTACTAGATGACAAATACCAGGTTATAAAAGTATTTTTGCAGCCTAGTTTGGTGGTAGTTATTTAATACACAAATGGAAGGTAATGAGCAGCGATTTGGGTTTTCTGTTTGCCACAGAAGAACATGGGCTTTCTCCTTTAAAAGAGAAAAACCGGGAACCAGCCTACAGGAGGCTGGTGACAGTGGGACACAGGGGGTGCCTGCCATGGGCATGGGCACATGCACACATGCATATGGCAGTCAAGCAGTGTGGTAGAAAGCAGCTCCTGCAGCTCCCTCCAGGTAAGTTCAGGGAGGGGGAGGAATGGCATAAGCCTCCTAGCCCTGCTGGTGTCCCTCACTCCGTACCTGCAATCCCCTACCCTCCCAGCCCTGCTGGTGCCCCTCACTACTGACCTGCTGGCCCCTGCCCCCAGCCCCCCAGTATGTGAGGAAGGGGGTGGTTGTGTGGGGAATGAGGTGGGTGTGGGCAGAGGTGACGAATGGGGGGAGGCAGGGAAGCATGTGTCCCCCAGATTTCTGTGCCCACAATGGAACACAGGCCTGTAGCCTGGCTGGAGCAGCCAGTGACATGCTGCACTGCCATGGCTGCCAAGGAGAGGTTTCCCCTGCCCACCCAGCAGCAGCAAGGGGGATAACTCTACGTCACTGTACCTCACCTTGGCAGCCATGGTGGCACAGCACTCCCTCCTGTGCCGGGTCCTGCCCGCTGGACCCAGTGGCATCTCCTGACAAGCACTTGTCTGGCCAGGCTACAGCATCACACCCCACTGTGGGTGCAGAAATCTTGGGGGGCACATGCCCCTCCCACTCTCCTCCATGTCACCTATGTCCACACCCACCACTTTCCTCACACACTGAGGGGCTGGGGCCTGGAGGTGAGGCGAGAAGCAGTAGGTTGGGAGTGAGGGGCACCAACAGGACTGGGGGGGTTGTGAGTCAGGAGTGAGGGGCACCAGCAGGCGTGAGGGGCAGGGGGATATGGGTTGGGAGTGAGGGGCACCAGTGGAGGGGATGACTGAGTTCAGAGCAAGGCCCCCCAGCCTTACTGGTGCCCCTCACTTCCAACTCACAGTCATCTACCCCACAGGTGGGGGGCTGGGGGTTGGGAGTGAGGGGCAACGGCATGGGCAGTGCACTGGCATATCAGGACTGCTCATCACCACAAAGTGGGGGGTGGGGGGCAGGGGGGACCCGGACAGCTGCAGCTGGGCCTGCATTCTGGTGAGCGAGAGCGGGGGAGGGAGGTCCTATTTTTCATGATAAAAAAACAAAGATCAAATGCCAAAATATATAAGTATTTATAATAAAGTAAATTCTAATGATTGAGGCACTGGTAGGCTTCCAAACTGTTTTAAAATCATATATCAATAAAACATTGTGTTCAACTGATACCTATATATAGAGTGCCATTTCATTTTATTTGCAGAAAAGACACAGATTTTGGATTTTTTATCAGAGAATTTTGTATTTTTAAACAGAGAAAACCAGGCTCCCTGTTAATGAGACACCCTAATTAGGAGGCTACAGACATAATGCTTAGCGTTTCATTTATGGATAGCTTACTTTTGCTCGTAATGCATATTTTAATGTTACAAATTTACAAATTATGAGTTCTAAAACCCATTAGATGCGTTATCCGTTTTTTAAAAATTCTTACATCCTTTTCATTCTGCTATCTTAAAATACTTGACAAACACTAACTGACAATCCCTGTTTTACATACATGGAAATTAAGGCAGTGGTGGGGACATGCATGATGAGATTTTAAGACCTTCTGGACAAAGACTGCATTTTATCATGTGCAGACAGTGTCCAATGCAGTGAATTCCCTGATCCCTGAAGGAAGTCTCTAGACACTACTGTAATACCAATAATAAATAACAGTGAATGTAGTTACATTTAAATAAGCAGTATTATATATTGTATGCCAATGGGAAAAATACTTACTTCCATCAGTTTCTTCTGAGGGCACGTCAACTTCTTCATTTTTATCATCTAATTGAGGTTCCTGGGAAGGCATGACCGAATCCTAGCAAAAAACTAAAGTTACTGAAAAATTTTCATCAGTTATTGTTTTCTGTTTTATGGTATCTAGTTAGAGCCTCCCAAAGATTTTAGATAAGTCTGTCTTTTTACATTAATAAGTTATCATTAGGAATTTATATCTGAAATTTCCAGGAAAGGAACTAAGCATTGCAGGTACCATATTAGAACATGGACGGTTTGTACTACCTTATAAAGAGACTCTACAAAAAGTTCATCTGCTGTCTGAAATGTGCAGTGTAAACACATATCATGTTTATTAATTCTTTTAAAACTAAGTACAGCATATTTTATAGGAATGTGCAAACTCAAACAGAATTAAAGATCTAAGACTGCCTTATGTGAAACTGCAGCCATGTCTTATAAAGCGTACATGCTTTTGCTTTAGTGTGAATTTATCTTTGCAATCAAAATCATTTGAATATGCTTTGCCACATCTAAAATATGAAATACTTTAATTTGTTCCAAAAGGTCGTCTTGTCATTAAAAAGGATATATATTTTTTTATTTTGATAACAAATTCTGCTGTTGGTCTCAACCATGAATATATGAAAAACCATACAGAATTATTAGAGCACATGCATCAACAAGCAGTTCTCTCTCAAATACAAGCTCCATATAAGTAGACAAAAGAATCAAGCCATCAAGGCAAGGTGCATAAAAGCACTTCAGCAGTGGGAATGATGAGGAAAGAATGGATTTGATTGATGAAGAAGCCACAGAAACTAACAAGAGAGTGGAGATGGGATGCAATATGTTTGGAGAAGGCCATGGATTAGACAGACAGCCATATAAAATTTTGATCCTAGAACAGGAAGGACATTGGAATTAAACCTGCAATATCACCAAGTGTTATATACCAGACATTTTTAAAAAGAGCATATGTCAGCTTCAGATACTCTTTCAAAATTTTAAACCATCTTGAGCTTTTTTTTTTTTCTTTTGCAGTGCAAACTTACCATATGCCTTTTGCAGGTCAGTGGAACAAGTATGTGACAACGTTTATGGACCAGCAATTTGCAGTTGATACACTTGTAGCCTTGCCTTCCGAGACCCCATATCCTTTCACTGCACTGGCCACAATATGCTCTCTAAAAATCAAAAGTTAACATTTATCAAATTCTATCCAATCACCAGTTCTTCTCTAGAGGAAGTTAAATACCTGACAAAAGAAACAAATTTCATAATCCCAATAGAATAATTTAGATTTGTCAGGAATCTGCTTTTAATTGACATTGCTCACCTGAAGGTTTGGTAATCTGCACCTTTAGGAATTCAGTTATTCAAACGCTGCCTCTGATTTTAAGTACCTAATACTTCACACAAAATTGGCTATACCAGTGAAAGCAGGTGCATACTTCTTCAGCATGGTTCAACCAGTGATTTGCACTGAAAAATGGGGCTCTTAGTACTACTCATCTAGCACCATTAACATTAATGACATATTACAGGCATACATAAGGACAAATTATTTGGGAAGAATAACTAAAAACCTAAAAAATTAAAAATGTATTTTCTTTGTCAACTGCACAGTGAAATAATGTTATGTGGGCTAAATGAAATAATTATAAGGTGAGACATGACAACAAAGGTCTTTGGTGGAAGATGCTGACAAAAGTAATCTTCCACAAGGGTTCCAAGTTGGGAGAACAAGACTGCTAATCACACTGGAACAGGGAAGCTGTTGTAGCAATATATAGCAACAATAGAAACCATAAAATACCTTAGCATGTTTCAGTTTTAGGAGGAAGAATTTTGAGGTTAGTGAAATGAGTGACTGCTATCTGACTGAAAGTATAAAGCCTACTGGGTGTGGACTGCTTCCTAACCTCTCCATGAACTGCCACCTTGACAGGGTGGAGAGGCCTGCATGTACTGATGACCCTTAGAGCAACACCATTGGGAGTCTTGTACTCCTGGTCAGGTCAGCCACGATGGTAAGGTCAAAGGTGAGGTATCAGATGAAGAGCAGTCCAACATAACATTAAAGAGCACAATGGTGGAGCAGGCATATGAAGGTATACTTCTCAAAGGCTGTGAAGCCAAATGAAGGTTGCAGTGGAAGAGTAACCCCAGTCCTTCTGGATCTCCTTGCCACTGGACGCAGGTTTCTTCTTCACCAAGATCAGTGTGGTTGCTGGTGTGAAACACCCTCCTCATGTAAAACAAGTTGTGCACAGGCTTCTCCCGCTGGACCCAACATCTACTCATCTACAACCCTTTATTGACCTGTGGGAGTGATCATCCTCAACCATGAGGGATCACTGACAGCAACATTTCCTAATACTCCATAAAATACTATGTTTACCTGGGGCCCAGTGTGAATAATAATGTATATGCGTATCAGATTTGCAAAGTTAAAATATCATTACCACTTCTTTAACAGTCAAACTGATTCCCCCTCTCTCACAAATGGTTAAAAAATCATTCCTTTGCTGATGGAGTTTAATGAATATCTATTTTTTTTTTACTTCAGCCAAATGCTAGAGTTATAACTGTTCAACAGCAAGCCCTGCAACTCAACAAATTGGCAACAGAAATCTGATCCTTACAAGACTTCAAATACTTCAGAAGAAATCCCAAAGCTACTTCATCATGAAATCAAAGGGGGTTTCTAGACATCATCTTGTTAGGCAAGAGTCTGCAAAGTATTTTTCTAGTTGACAGCAGGACAAAATAGCTTTTTGCATTGGTGAGCCAGGACAGGCATGGAGGGCATATGCCCCCTGGATTTGTGCACGGGGCGAGAAAGGGCTGCTTGCTGCGGGCTCGGGGCCAGGGGCTATGGCGGCCTCTTCCCCGTGTGGGAGTGGGGGGCGCTAGGCCAGGGCTGGGTGGGGGCAGAGTGGGCTCAGTTGCACGGGGCAGGCAGCAGCGGTGCTAGGAGGGGTGGCTCTGGGCAATTTGGGGTAGCTATAGTTATAGCAGACGCACCCCCCATCCCACCCCTCCGGCATCCTCTCCCCACCTCCTGCATTCCGGATGAGCCACCCACAGCTCCATCCTGCTCCTAGCCCCGGGGTCACATTCACTGCCCCGGCTGCACAGAGCCTACCTCTGCCCCCACCCTACTCCCCCCCTCACCATGGGAGTCTCACACAGCATTTAATCGGTAACATTATTGGCTACACTGGCCAAAAAATGCTGATAGCCGATAACATTAATTTTCCTTTCACCGGTGCCAATCTGATATCCCTCTGATACATAGATGCACCTCTAACAAACATAATTCTCACTGGAGTACTTCAATGTAACTTTTCCCCTTGAAAATTGAGTCTAATTTTCCTTTCCAATGAAGCCAGATTAGCAGCTTTCCAGTATTTTTTCTACTGCCCAGACAAGAACATAATTGTTTAATTGAAGCTAGATGTTGCAGTCTTACCAGTAGAAATTTAGAAAGGCATTTTCTGAATCAGTGTATTTACTCTAAAGAGCATTCAAAATTTTTTATATAAACATTTACTTCATTTTCTAAGATTGCTGATGGGACTGACCAGCTCTGATTTACACATTTATTTCCTAGGAGCAGAGTACCTAAAAGTAGAGGCCTTCAAAACTTTAGGAGCAATGGAATTAACATTGTTCAGACCCAGAGAAACCAGCTCATTAAAATGCTTCTAACACAACAATGGTAAAGGAATATGGGCTATGGTGACATGCACAGCCTGGGAGTTAGGACTCTTGGTTTCCAGACGAGTGCCCTAGCCACTCAGTTATTTGGTCTAAAACATGGAAAGGCCCGCTGGAGTCAAACACCCTCTAGGTGTAGGTTTTGCACCAATTAAGTTCTCTCTCTCAAACCACTCTAATTAAAAACCACTCTAAATAAGCACCCCTTCACCCTGGAGTATGTGTAGAAATGCCCCAAGGGGCCCTCCACACATGCAGCTAAAGGTGCTATGGGATCTAATGTATGATCCACACAATTGTGCCTCCTGCCATGCCACACATCTATGGCAGGAGGTGCAACTGTGGGATCATACATTAGATTCCATTATGCTTTATTGCCAGTGCAAGGGGAGCTGAATCCCAGGTTTCCCCTGCACCACCAAGAAACAAGCTCCCGCAGTTGGAAGCATAGGTGGCGGAATGGGTGGGGGGGTGAAGACTAACAAGGCTCAGCCCCTGCAAACACAGGGCAGCAGCAGGCATGGCCTTAGGGCAGCCTGGCCACAGGGTCCTGCAGCAAGTGGGGAGGGACAGGCATGCTGAGCTACCCTGTGCACTTGCAGCCAGGATTGCAACTGGCCCAGCTGTAGGCAGGGAAGTTTCTTTTAATCTGCCTTTTTTTTTTATTTCAGTGGGCTTGGGGAGAGGGCAGATCGAGACCCCCCACAGTACAAGAGAGAGTGGGGTAGGGGAAGGGCTAATCATTCACCTCTGCCCATGGCCCGCTCCCTCCTGCACTGTGGGGATTGTCTTATGACCCGGCCTGGCTGGGGCCCCATTCACGGCCTCACTGCTCAGCCCGCCCAGCAGTGGGAAGCACACGGCGGAGCCCGCTGCTTTCGAAGCAGCAGTGGTGAGGCACAGAGGCATGGAGCAGAGGCTGAGCCCAGCTCGCAGCTGCGGCCTGCCCTTGCCTGTGCAAAGATCAGGGGACATGTGCCCTCCCCCGCCTTGGCTGCCCAGTACTGCACCTCTGGAGGAGCTCCCGGCTTTTCATGGGGACCACACGGGGTGAGGCAGGGCAGGTGCGGGGGTTCCAGGGGCTCCATCCCCTCCAGCCCAGCAGTGTAGCCAAGGCTGGCCTCGCTCTGGCCCCCCCTGGCTGGTGCACAGCCAGGGCCTGTATGACCGGGAGGCAGCTGGGGCAGGTGCAGAGGCTGGGAGGTGGCAGAGGCTGGTGTGGCCAGCGCTGGTGGAGCTGGGAGGGAACCCTCTCAGTTGAGCCCCCTCCCACCTACTGAAGTGCCCCATATACTCCAGAGGCTGGGAGATGCAGCTGTTGTGATTTATGGTTGGGAAATAGCAGCAGCCTCAATCTCTCAGCCTCGGGGGTGCCTGAAACCCCCAGGGCTGGGAGTTCATGGCAGCTATGGTCTCCTGGCCTCGGGCATATGCAAAACCCCCGAGGCTGGGGATCACTCCAGCCATGATTTCCTGGCCTCAGGGGTTTCATCTACCCCTGAGGCTCGAAGACCACAGCTGCTGGAATCTCCCAGTCCTAGGGAGTCCATGCATCTTTAAGGGCTGGAAGACTGCAGCTATGCCCCACTGCTATTGGGAAGGTGCTGCTGGAACCCAGTGTCCACAGTTGCTGGGGCTGAGAGTCCCCTTAATTGGAGAAGTAGCAGCCTCAGCTGGGCATGGTGCATCCCTGTGGCTGGGAATCCCATCAGCTGACAGGGCTGCCAGCTGCAGGGGAGACCCTGCTATAAGTGGAAATTAAAGCTTGATAGCAACCAGCTAAAAAGTTAGTACATGTTTTTGAGGTCTAGTATACGTTTTTGAGCTGGTTGGATATTTTTATTGCGTGATAGGTACTTTGCATGTGTAGCTCATCTCAAGGCCTGAATCCTATTCTGTTCAACTGGTATAACAAGTATATCAATGGAACACAATTTGGAAACCATTTTTCACTTGTATTGCCTTTTTCTCAGTAATTCAGTCAGCCATACATGTTGATTTTACCACTTTCAAAGTATTTTTAATAAGGTAAAATGCATTTTAAAAACCATTCCTTTTGTTCTAAAGAAAAAAGAGCTGTCCAAAAATCTTATTCTGCACTTAAAGCAGCTCCCAGAAAAGAACGGAGAAGTTTTTCCAAAGCTGACAAACAGTTTGTTTCATCTAAATCTGTTTTGGGGAGCTGGAATTATTTCAAGAATTTTAGTGAATGCCTATATGGTTTTTTCTCTTTTAGGCGATTAGGAAAAAGTAGTTATTTCTACCACTGCCAAAGTGAAATAATTCATTAAAAGTATGATGGTTTAAATCAGAATGTCTCTTAACTGAGATTGAAATCTATAGAATTAATTGCGCCAACACCAGCAAGTAGCAAGCCTGCCACCCAGTGCTCCCACAGCTTGAAGCACTAGTCAGCTGATGGGCACTCCCAGCCAGCCATGGGAGCGCATCAGCGCGAAGGGTTCCAATGCACTTTCGCGGCTGGGAGTGCTGATGAGCTTACCAGCACTCTCGCTGTGAGAGCACAACAGAGCCCTTCAAGGCTCAGGGGCGCTCCTAAGGTTGGGAACACCAATCTGTTGACTGTCACTCCCAGCTTCAGGAGTGCACCAAAATCTTGAAGGGCTCTGATGCGCTCCTGAGGCTAACAGCAACCACATGTTCAATTTAAGGCGTGATGAGAACCAGCCCCAAAGTTATTACATATATTTTGTGTACAATAACTTTGCGGCTTATTCCCTGTTTTAACGCACCAGTGATTGCCTAAACATATTGTTTATCATGTCTTAAGTATAACGTCTGCCAGGGGCCCAACAGACAGTTCAAAATTCACATCTGTTTTCCTCCAATCATTGCAATTCCTGTCAGTAAGGGACACTCTAAACACACCATGTATTCACAGAGCAAAGTGCAAATAGGAAGGTTTCAGCTTTCTTTCTGTGCTGTTGTTTCCTATTTTACTGTTTGGCCTAATATCTGTTACCATTTGCTTCTGTCAATTTTTAATAAAATTTACTATACTCCGCCACACAGCTTGACATACATGTCACATCAGGTTATCTTGTATCAGCATTGTGTCATTATTTAAATGACACACCAATGTGATATCTGTAATACATGCAGAGAGAAATTTAAGAAGATCTTTTGCTCCCAAGATACTTTAAAAAAAAAAAAAAAAGACTGCAAATCTGCGTATTATTTGCAGATATAGTGATGCACCATACGTTAATGTTATGGTTATACTTAAATCTCAGTAACAAACTAACTCAAGCAAAATCATACTTCAAGTATGGATTTGCCACTAGCTTTTAATTTCCCTCTTTTTCTTTTTTAATTAAAAGTTCCTATTGGGAGATTTTACACACACACACACACACACACACACACACACACACACACACACACACACTCTCTCTCTCTCTCTCTCTCTCTCTCTCTCTCTCTCTCTCTCTCTCTTAGTTTTGCAGGCAGAGTAAGTTGAATGAGCTGAAAAAGGGAATGTTCACATCTGAAAATACCTACTTTTTTCAGATCATAACTCAAAAACTTGCTCACAGCCAAAATAAATGTATGGTTGACTGAAATAACTGTTCCATACTAAACCTGTTTTCACAATCATGAGTTTCACACATTTCTTTGTCCTAAAAATTCTTATTAGTTTCAGCCCAAAGGATTTTGAATAAAATCATTAAAATTATCTCTAATATACAAGCATGAAAAAATAGTGTGCACTATTTTGCACTATTAAAGACTTATTTTATTTTTTGAGAAGACAAACTTTTGTTCAAATAATACAATATATCCAATAATGGCATGTTCATAGGATATTTATTTTTGTACACCCTATTTTCTCATGTTTGCCTGTTAAAATTCTTGCTTTAAATTTGCATAGGAAAGTGGACACTCCATATTAACTCAGTATTTCGAAAAAAATATACTGGCATATGCCAGCAGGAATCCTTGAGCAATACCATAAATACATAATAAAACAGCTCACATTTAAAATTTTACCAATAATGATTCTTGAAATGCAGGTATATGCTGCATTAAATTGTGTCATAAATGTAAGATGCCATTTAGCACATGCATCAACAAAAGGTGGAATGACATTTACTACCAGTATTTCAGTTGGGTTTCTTATAGGCAAAAGATATAGCTGAATCATGAAGCTGAGTAAGTCTAAGATGTAATTAACAGTAGACTTCAAATAAGAGTTGCAACATGTGCACAGAGACTACATTTTACTCACTTTATCCAATGAACTGCCAGACAGTTTGATTTTCACATGCCAAACTGCTGCTTCAGGCCTGGTTTGCTCCCTTGTTCACAGCACATTTTGATACTGAAAGAAACGCTCTCTACTCCCCATTTTCAGGCTCCCTTCAGCCACCACCCTTGCAATCTGAAAAATGGCATCACACTCGCATCTTGCCATCATTCATCGTACTCTTGAAAGCTGCACGTATGCTCTTATGCTCTCTCCTGACTAGACTCATGCAGAACTCCTGATGTAACTTGTTCCAAGCAACAGGACAGTGAAAGTCTGTCCTACCTAGCAAAGCTGCAAGTTAAAGTGTGGCTTTCAGACCCTCATCTGTGGAATCACTGAATCACATGAAGCGAGTGCCTTGCCCAAAATGGTTAAGTCATTTGACTCTTTAGTAGTAAGAGAGGATAGAGCAAATGATCTTTTTCTGGCATTTTCCATCTGGTCTGCTCCAGCACTGAACCCCAATAAAGTCAATGAGGCCCTATGTCAACAGACAGGTTTTCCTGTGTACAGCCAGTTGCAGGAATAGGTCTCAAGACAGGCAACTGATAAAGGGTGCAGGGAAAGTAGTGGGAGGCATTTTTTTTCTTTAAAAAATACAGACCACACCAGCTACACTGCTGCTATCTTTAGAAACCTGACTGATTTCTTGAAAGGAATTCAGGACTAGAGGTCCAAACCCATCCCATCCCTGCCCCCATAAATCCAGAAAGGAAATACAAGCCTCATTTAAGACCAGGGTATCAGAGCAATGCTCATACTTAAACTACAACAACTGTTGGTAAATGGAGAGGAAAAGGGAAAAGTACATTTCCGTTCTGAGAATTGTGTGCATGTTGAAAAGAAAAATTAGAATGGAGACTTTCTGCATTCTTCTGAGACATTGATGGCAACTTACATAGCTCTTTTCTATTTATTTTTTGCCAAATAATAATAATGGAGAGAGCCATACCAGGAGTCAGTTTATTAGCTTAAAAAAAATCCAATAAAATGAATTTTAAGGAAACTATCACAGACTGTGAAAATATCAATTGAGTGAGACTTAAGTCAGATGATGGCGAGCAGTAAGAAATAGGAACAGAGTGGGAGAATCCATTACATACATTTATAATCTTAGGGGTTTTCACTATTCTGTGAAAAGCAAGCATAAAGACTTGCAATTTGCTAACTTATTCTACAAAATACCATACTGGGTTCCTAATCAAGAGTACCTGATATTCACAGTGGAAGAGATAATACTATATAATTGCGGGCACTTTAAGAACGCAACTATGCTAGGTATAGTTTTATACGTCCCAATTCAGTATCTACTTAAAATATACATAATAAAGAAGAAATGGAATAAATAAAGAACTTGTAAACTATGCTGGAAACCTAATGAATTAAAAGTTCAGGAACTAGCAAATGTCCATTTCCTATTTCTAGCAGACAATTATTTGTCAGACTTCCAATAAACTGTTCTTAAGTAATCCAAAAAGTGCAATCTAAATTGTTGTAGAACAAACCATTACATTAACAGAAGTATACATACAGATTTCAACCTCCAAAAGCATTAAAATGAGAAAAAGTGGAAACAATAGGCAATACACTAGGTAGTACTGTATTGTGTCGGTAGTAAATGCTCTAGGTAAGATAATAAAATAATTTCTAATGCATCATCCATCTGATACTTTGAAAGCAGAGTGAATTTTGAAATTTATTGCCTGCCCATAAAAAATCCATTCACTATTGAAAAATCCAGTTTCAGAAGTATATATGCTTATATATAATCTTTAAATATTTGTCTGTTGCTTATTACACATCATACTAGCCTTATTACTAGGTTCAGTTGGATTCTTATGGTGCTACAAGCTTTGAAAAACATTTATTTTTATGGCACTATAGCTGTGAATACATTTAATTTTGTATTGAAATGTATGCTATAAACGAGGCAAATTTGGGCTTGTAGAGAAAATAAAATAATTGTTACAATGAAGTTTCAAAACCTCATGTATTCATTCACTCCAGGCCTAGTGTCATAAACATTTTATTAAATGACACTAACATGGACTTCTAATTAAAATGTAAGTGATATTATACATTCATGATTGCTTCAAAGTTAAACATTTTCACCATGTATTCAGTTATGTATTAAGCCTCTGGGCTGGTATATTGCACAGTATACAGTGTAAATGTACATTACCAATATATGAATTTCACTTCCATTTTCACTGATCTAGGGGCAAGACTCGGGGACTTCAATTTTTTTTTAATACATGTGACGTGATATATATTTTTTTCTCGAATACCAGAAACAAAATCTTTCCAAATAATAGCAAATCCTGATAACATGACTATAAAAGAAATGGCAGTGCTGAACCTAAAAAAATTAACCTACCTCATTATATACAGGATTTTAGGGAATTCTAAAATTGTACCTTGGATCCAGTATATGTGCTGGAATACTCTGGCACAATGAGCTGGGTTAAGGAGGAGTCTGAGTCTTAAAGCTATGTGCTTTTGCTTTTGTGAAGTCAGTCCCTAAATACTGTTGTATCTTGGCTAACACAACAATTTTCTCTTCAATACACCAGTTTTTGCCCTCAATTAGACTAAATCCTAATTAAAGTTCCAAGCATTTTAAGACAGGATATTAAGAATCTTAATCATCATCATCATCATCTATATGAACAATGACAAGACAGCACTAAGGATAATAATTATACTTATAAACAATCATAACAATGCAACGGGGGTTGTGGAGAGAAGCTGAGCTGAAAATGCATGTTAAAATATACACAAAAATGGCTGTTATGAGATTTTAAAAGGAAAAATGTCTATTAACTGTAAGCTGTTGACTCCACCCAGGACTCTAAATAATTCAAAGACTCTTGAGTTTTTCTGGTCTTTATGCTTTGAATAATACAACATTCATATGAAAAAGCATCTTGATTTTCTTTTTCTTTCCCCTGCTCTAAATACAGGAAGAGCATATACTGAAAAAACAATAACTGCAGAGGCATTACTAAAAAACCCAGTATTTTCAGCAGCAGTACTCACTCTGTTAAAACGTTTGGCTTGAAACAGATGCCCATTCACTCGGTACAGCTTCCTCCATCTTCTGGCTCCACGTCGGTAGATTGATTCTAAGAAGGAAATTAAAAAGGTGTAAAGCAGCAACATAGTAGCATAAAAATACCAGATACACTATGTCAAGCAAGTTGTGACTTAGAACAATCTTGGTTTTCTAAACATCGACGCACAGCTAAAATCCCTGCTGACAGAATCAGGTTTTAAAAAAAAAAGAGCCTTAAATGACAGCTTCTGGGGGATGTGCTTTCACCAATGCCTCTCCCTTTTTTTCCTACCCCTCTCTTTTTCTCACATGATTATCATCTTGTTACAGATCCTTGGCTGCTTGCTCTTGCAAGCTCAGGTGAGATGGATAGCTACAGTCAGTTAAAGAAACAGCGTTCCTCTAGAAAACTCGTGATACTGATCTCACTATGTCAGCTTAATGTGTAAACACATAAAGGATGGTTACTGATAATGGTATATATTATGCAATATTTAAAACATTATGAATCTTATGTGCCATACTTTTTGGTCTCATTTCCTCTTTCCCAGAAACTGTTACTCTAACTCTTGTTTCCATGCAAGAAACTGTTCAAATGTGCTTCTGTGATTAATTCTAATATATCCTTTATGTAATTATAACAACTTATTTTAGGTTACCGAGGATTTTTTTCTTAAATGTAAAACTAGACTGCAAGAGGCTGAAGGAGATACAATGTCTATTTTTTTTTTGTAAATGACTTTTTGCACGTTATGTGTATCATATATCTGTGCTGCTTATCGCATGGATTAATGGTTAGAATTACAGTAATGTGTTGGGAAATTAAATGTGCAACACCTAAAATATTAATAGATGAATCATCAGCGTATCTTAATATCTGATTTCCAGTACAGAAAATTAACTTACAAGATTTTTTTATTACAGATTCACACATCTTATATTTAAAGCTACATTAAAGTGTAATACATTATAGCATACAAGTATTTTACATAGGGATCTTAAAGCACTTTATTTCAAACTAAGCACAAACCTAAGCTAGTGTCGTATCATTTGGATCCTCTGAAAAATGTTCTCTATGCTCCCTGTTGCACATTACGCTTAATACGTGATTAACCAGTTAATCACGTCTTAGGTTGTAACCTGGCCACACATTAAAGCCATTAATGGTGTCATAAAATATAGAATAAGCCACACGTTTTTCCACAAAAAATGTGTAATAACTTTGTGGTTGGTTCCTATCATGAAATTAATTGAACACGTGGTCAGGTGCACCTCCTCCCAACCATGGGGGAGAACCACACACTCCAGTGACTGGGAGCCCAGATCAGCTGACAAGGCGCACAGTTCCAGGAAAGCATGGTGCTCCCCTGTGGTTGGGAGCCTTGTCAGCTGATGGGGCTCCTAGTCATGGAGGCACACCTTGTCACATGTTCAATTTATGGCATGAGCACCCCCACAGCTGGGAGCCCAGATCAGCTGACGGGACTCCCAGCTGCAGGATCACATGGTGCGCACTGTGGCCAGGAGCTTGCTACTTGCTGGTGCTGGGGGAGCCTGAGAGCAATACCAGATCTTGCACAAAAATTAAGGCTTGATGGAATCTGATGCATGATCCTACAATCCTGCCGCTTGCCATGTACATGCAGCATGGCAGGAGCAGTGATTGTGGGATTGTGCCTCAGATGATCATGCCTTTACCTGCATGTCTGACAGGGGCCTGTGGGTTTAAGTATATTACAGGGTAGTAAGACCTATTAAAATAAAAATCTCAAGAATTCACTATTCAATTAAAAAAAAAACAATTAAAGCTGCTTTCATCACTGTAATGGAAGCACTGTGGATTATCTAATGGGGAAATTATAACTGCATGATTTTCAAACAAATTGGTCATAAAGTAACACAAATTAGGTCACAGTTGATATAAAACCTGTTTACCTCTTTAAATCTGAAAGTCAGTAAGCAATAACATGAAACCAACTTTTACAGATAAGTATTAACAGGATACTGTAGAAAGTATTAGCCACTGACTCCAAGAAGATAACAAAAGTGAAATATAAACTTTTCGTAAGATTCTCTTCTGCAGTGATTTGAATGCATTTACAACGTATACAATCATTATTGTATAAATATAATTTTAAAAAGTTAACTTTGTAGGATCAATTTGCTTTCTGGTATAACCTACATGCATGCTTTCCTAGGGCACAGACAGATGTGACAATTTCTGCCTCATCTGGTCACAGAAAGCAGTCTATACACATGACCAAATAAAGTATATGGCTGAAGATTGCTAAAAAATGACTGGGTGAAAACGTGAACCCTCATTCTATGTTTTGAAACATTACATGTGGGTTCAGATGAAGACGTTTCAAAACATAGTGTCTTCTGTAACTTGTGTTTGCGCTGCCTCCCAGCCTGTTGCTGTTTTCAGAATGGGAGGAGGAAATGGAGTGGATGGAGTTTGGTCTGGGGCTTTTTCAGCCCCTGTAGAGGATGGAGCAGTATACTGGAGCCCCTCCGAGGTGGGGGGTCTCCAATTCACCCACCTCACCCTCTAGTGCTGACTGGGGAATCCCTAGAATGAGCTCCCTCTGCTCCCTTTCCCCCCTCCCATTCTGAAAATGGGGACAGGCTGGGAGGGCAGAGCCGTTGCCAGGGGAAACCAGCTGTAGGCTCACAGCCAGCAGCTAGATTCCCCTCCCCACTGCAACCAATAATGAACTTCTGTTTGGTCCCAGGGGACTGCTGAAACTCGGGACATTTCCAGCAATGCGTTCTGAGTTAGAGCAGGGAGCTGCACTTATGTTTGTGCCCATAATGGTCACAGCATAGTTAGTCATGCAGCCTTTTAGGTCAGATCTTCAGTTCACTTCCAACTTCCTGACATAAGTTGTCATGTTGCCTTACTCCTCTTTTTAAAAAAGTATCAGCAGCTGCTTCATTGCTTTATAAATTCTCATTTCAAAGGATTAACACTTTCTACTAGGAGTCTAATATTATGTTGATGTTAAGGTGTCTCCTAATCCATCCATCAATCAATCCATCTTGACAACAGGTAGCAAACAGCATTATGTTCTGGATGTTCAACCTGCTGTCCTAAGAAGCATCTAGTGCTTCTCTAGACCTTTATCTTAAGCGTTTCCCAAATTATAAACTTGAGTTACTTACTAATTGATCCACTAAAAAGATACCCTTGGTAATGTACCAAAGAAACAGTTAATATAAGTCAATAGAGTTTTAAAAATATAAACTAAATTAACTCAGTCAGATTTACAAAGAAAAACTGAGACATTACTTACCTTGAAAAAAAAATCCATATTTTATTGAAAGGATTATAAAAATTCATTTTATGATACAATACAGATGGTTGAATTGTGAAGATACTAAGTGTACAGTTCTTGGTAAATTAATTCAAATTGATATTTAGTTCTTCCTATGCAATTTTTTTGGCCTTCAAAAATTAGTAAGTAAATACTATATTTAAAAATATATGTCTTAAATTTATCTTATTTTCTAAAGTGACTCACTTTGTAACAATGGTAAATACACAACTTTCTATTAGTATATAAATAGATAATGAAATAATTTTCCTTTTGTTGGAATATTTTTTAACTCAAAGTCTGAGCTAACTGAAATCACTTTTGGCTGTTTTCTCTTCATATATACTGAGGGAACACTGGTTGTTCATACCCAATCTTTAGGGTTTTTTTGCTGTACAAAGCTAAGGCAGACCAGTTCTAGAAAGGAATAATTTCTGACTACCACATGAACTTCAGCCTTAAATCTAAAATTGCATATTTAAAATCTAAAATTACAAATCTAAATTGCATAACTTTACTTTTACGAGGGGACTCCACTTTGCAAATGTGTGCTGGATCAGGATTTTTCAACAGTCATTGTACCTTGTTTACTAAAATATTACTTGAAAAACTCAGAGCAACTTGAAATCTTTGCATACTGCAGATGCAGTAAACATACCATGGCTAGACTATGCATTTCCTGCATGATGAAATTATGCAAACCATGTGGCTCTTCAAGATCTCCAAATCTCTAAAGATATCCATCTTCTGACTATGAACCTGGTGTAAATGGCTGTCTTTTCAAAATAATGATTCTGAGAAGTAGTAACTTCACTGACTGTCATAATGTCATTGAAGACCTGATCAGATGTTAACAGATTTAACAAAGATGTTTTGTAAGATGCTAGCATCTTACTCCATCAGCATCTGATGAAGCAGATTGTTGCATACAAATGTCCATGCCTCTCAGTACAAGTTAGGCTCCAAGGAAAGGTGTAATAGGATTTGACACTCGATCCACACAGTCACTCCTCCTGCCATGTCACATGGGCATGGCAGGAGGTGCGACTGTGGATCCAACCATACACTCATGGCTGGTGCAGGGGGAACCCGAGATCACGACTCCAGGCTCCCTCTGCACTGGCCAGTAGTGAGTTCCCATAGCTGGCAGTCCTGCAGCTGACAGGGCTTGCAGCTGCAGCAGTACGCCATGTGCTCCTGAGGCTGGGAGTCCTGTTGATGAAGCTTGGAGAGGTATTAACTTCAGCTGCAAGACTCCCTCCCACCTGTGGCAGTGCACTAGCTGCTGTTGTGGCTGCCAGCTCCATCAGCCTACCAGGCTCCCAGTCAAAGGGGAGTACCTGGCCTCATGTTCAATTAGTGCCATGATAAGAATGAGCCACAGTTATTACATATTTTTTTGCAGCTTATTCCTTGTTTTATCACACCATTAATTGATTGAATGTGTAGCTTGGTCACAACTTAAGACGTGATTAACTGGTTAATCATATTTTAAGCGTGACATGTAGATGGGGCCTAAGGTGCTGCTCAGCCTTACCTTCACTGCCTGCTTTATTTTCATGCAAGCATTTGGTGTTCCTATTTTTTTCACTCTATGTTCAGAGCAACAGACTTCTACAAATCAACTGCCTTATCTCATACCTTGCACCAGAATCCCTGTTCCCTTTTTTCTAGTGTTTCTAACTCCATATTTATTATAAACAAATTCAATCCAATCTCTGCTGTCTGTTTATCTTCTGCCTTTATGACTTTG